ACGCCCAGAGCAAAGCCTTGGAGGCGGCGGGGTCCCGCACCTCTGTGGCTTTGCTCCGGGTCTCCCTGGTCTGCTGGGGGTGGGGGTGGGGCGCAGCTAGTGCGCCCCCCCTCCTCCAGCAGGCCAGGCTTTTGTTGTGGACGCCTGGGGTAGAGCAGCTGGGGTGCTGCCGGGTTGGTCCTGGGGGGACATACCTGGCAGCGTCCCAGGCTTCAGATTCAGCCGCTGTTGAAACTGATCAGTGGCTGATTCCAGGAAGCCGGGGGCAGAGCAACTCTGCCTAGGGCTTCCTGTAGTCAGCCGCTGATCAGTTTCAGCAGCAGCTGAATCTGGAGCCAGTTCCGACTTACATACAAATTCAACTTAAGAACAAACCTATAGTCCCCTATCTTGTACGTAACCCGGGGACTGCCTGTAGTCTGATGTCTGCCTAACACGCTGGAAAACATAAGAACATAAAAATGGCCGTACTGGGTCAGACCAAAGATCCATCTAGCCCAGTATCCTGTCTGCCGACAGTGGCCAGCACCAGGTGCCCCAGAGAGGGTGGACCGAAGACAATGATCAAGCGATTTGTCCCCAGCCACCCCTCTCCAGCCTCTGACAGACGGAGGCCAAGGACACCATTTTAGCCCCTGGCTAATAGCCTTTAATGGACCTAACCTCCATGAAATTATCTAGCTTCTCTTTAAATTCTATTATAGCCTCCTCTGGCAAGGAGTTCCGCAGGTTGACTACACGCTGTGTGAAGAAGAACTTTCTTTTATTAGTTTTAAACCTGCTCCCCATTAATTTCATTTGGTGTCTTCTAGTTCTTCTATTTAGGGAACTAATAAATAACTTTTCTTTATCCGCCCTCTCCACACCACTCATGATTTTATAGACCTCTATCATATCCCCCCCTTTTCTAAACTGAAAAGTCCCAGTCTCTTTAACCTCTCCTCATATGGGAGCCGTTCCAAACCCCTAATCATTTTCGTTGCCCTTTTCTGAACCCTTTCCAAGGCCAAAATATCTTTTTTTGAGGTGAGGAGACCACATCTGTACACAGTATTCAAGATGTGGGCGTACCATAGTTTTATACAGGGGCAGTAAGATATTCTGGGTCCTATTTTCTATCACTTTCCTAATAATTCCTAGCATCCTATTTGCCTTTTTGACCGCCGCTGCACACTGCGTGGAAGTTTTCAGAGAACTGTCCATGATAACTCTGGTGGAAGCAGAGCCCCTTTCATGAGGGCATCCCAGCTTGGTGGGCAGATTTCAAAGGATGGGGAATGTGCCACATTCCTTGGCAATGGTTAATCGCACTCCCTGCTAAACATCTGCACCTGGTTTCTGGATTGACAGTGTCTAGCCTGAATCTGTGGACACCTCTCTAATCTTTCTTGTCACTCAGACCCACAACTGTGGGGCCGCCTTCGTCTCCAACCTCCCATGGGCCTCACATCAGGCCGACTACATACTGTAAAACTTTCTGCATATTATTAAGATGGCCTCTCCTATTCATCTGTGCAGCTAAAACTCTCCTGCTTCTCCACAGCTCACATCAGTAACTGCAACAGCCTTCTCCCTGGCCTAGACAAACGCGACTGTGTCCCACTGACATCCATCCAGGATGCTGCTGCAAAGACCACTGCCTTAGCCCACAGACTATTTCACCTCTCTCTGCTTCCCTCATTTCTGCTGTATCACACACGCCCATGGTCTGCACTCTCAAGGCCTTTCCCAGCCGCTCTCCACCCTCCCCACCATCTCCTAACTCAGTAATGACAGGGCACACGGCACATTTCCTGGACCGCACTGTGATCCAGTAGCCTAGGAAGGGGTGATTGGGGCTGCTGCAGAATGGTTGAGAATTCCAGCCAATCTCCCAGGTCACACGCTGCGCCAGACGAAACACCAATGATATTTCAGATTGAGAGAGAACTAAAGCCAGACAGAGCTCATCAAAACTGCAGTGCTGGAGAGCACATTTCCCGCTGAATTAAGACCTGAACAAACATGGCATTCAGGCTTGAAATACTTCCTAGCAACAGAAGATTAAACTACGTTGTCAGCAGCATAATAGATTAGCCCATAGCCCATGACTGCCAACCCTTAGATTTCACATTTCTTAGAAGCCTGCAGATGAGTCTGTGAATGGGACAAGAGAGAAGTGAGATATGCTTTATGCAAGGGGGTTATGATCTACTGAGTATGAACATCCCATTCATATGCACGTATCAGTTCTGTAAAGGAGGTATCTCTATTTCATACTGTGCTGCTTTGGGTCACTTGCAGTCCCTGAAATGTCAGGGACAAGGAGAAAGCCACACAGGGCTTGATGGGCCATCGGCGAGGATAATGGACTGTGAATAGGCTGGGCCCACTCATGGACTGGGAGGGGGTGCTGCAAAGTCAGGTCATCTGGCCATTAGGGATGTAAAAAAAGTTTTAAAACCAGTAACCATTAAAAATCCTCGTGGTTACACAGTTAACCATTTCTGGCTGGGCAGGGCTAGGGAAGGAAGGATGGTGGAGGGGTGCCCTGCAGCTCCTGAGGAGCCACCTACCACCCCATGGGCTGGCAGCAGGTTCCCCAGGAGCCATTGAGCGCCTGCAAGGCAGAAGAGTTTAACCATAAGACAAACCAAGAAGCTGACGCTCTTACATTGCTACTGGTCACCTGATACTAACTCACTCATAAGAACAGCCGGATTGGGTCAGACCAAAGATCCATCTAGCCCAATATCCTGTCTTCCGACAGCGACCAATGCCAACTGCCCCAGAGGGAGTGAACCGAACAGGGAACCATCAAGTGATCGCTCCCCTGTTACCCATTTCTAGCCTGTGACAACCAGAGGCCAGGCCCACCATTCCTACTCACCCTGGCTAATAGCCACTGACGGACCTAACCTCCGTGAATTTATCTAGCTGCTCTTTGAACATGTTAGAATCCTGGCCTTCACCACATCCTTGGTCTGCTGAACTGCTCCCCACTGAATGGGGAAATCCAACAAATGTTCCCCACCTATTCTATGTAAGAATGGGGAAGAACACCATGCCTCCCTTCCACTGGCTCCACCTCTGCCTCCCCTCCATAGATATACCTGACAATGCCTAGAAATAGAAGGGCTGCAACTGAAGGAGGGGAGGGTGGACTGCAGGTCCTAGGCCAAGAGATCCCTGGCCTGTGAAGGCCTTTATCTGAAACAATTACTAGGGTGAGAAGTTAATATTTGTAACCAGTTCTTAGTGAATCTAGCTTAGATTGTGAGCTTTGTATTCTTTTCTTAGTAATCGCTTTGACCACTTAAAATCCAAATGTTCATAGTTAATAAACATATCTGTGAGGGTTAGCTGTGTTAGTCTGTGACTTTAAAGAAACAACTAATAGCCCTGTAGCACCTTAGAGACTAACAAATATAAATACAATATATATCTATATAAAGAGAATGAATCATGAGCATTTGTGGGCAAACCCCACTTCCTCAGCTGAGCAGAGAGATGAGATCATCTGAAGAAGTGGGTTTTGCCCACAAAAACTCAGCAAGACGAGGTTAAAGAGGGCCCAGGCTGATCGAAAGGGGGTGGGTCAGTGGTGTCCGAGCACCTTAGGTGACGTTTCAGTGGTCCCGACCCATCACAAAATCTTTTACGTACGTGTCATAATCCTGGATCACATTCCCCACACTCCAGATGGCAGTCAGGTATTCGTTTATCCCATTTGGACTGATGTAGTGAAGAGAATCCGGTGACTTTGGATCTCCATTGGAGCCAGTGAAGTCTATACCCACCTGTTTAAGATTAAGACAGCAGGTCATTGAAGTGTAAGTGAGAAAGAAAATGCTTATCTCCAGGACCAGCTCAGCTAGCCCAGCACTTCTGCACATGCAGATTGGCAAAAGTCTCCCCAGTACTGCTCTGGGACCCTTCTGTTCCCTAGGAGTCCTAGGCAAGCACTGGCATCTGAGATACACCCGCAGGGCACAAGTCTGCACGGCACCCTGGTCCCAGTCTTGCTTAATGCTAGCCTAAAAATTACATTACCTGAGAAGAGATGAAGAAATGCCCCGCCCATTAGTTACTGTGAGCTGCTAATGACAATCAACCAAAGGAATTACTTTCTTCTGATAGGGTTGTCAACAGGTAACCAGTAACCTGCTTACCGGGGAATGGTTAACCATTAGCCAGGAGCAGCCCACCACGGGGCCAAAGGCAGCCAGGCTGGAGCAGCCCCTTTCACCCCCGCCACCTCCATGGACTCAGTTATCTGGTTAAAATTAACATTTAACTGGCTAACTAAACCAACGGGATTTTACATCCCTATCTTCTGACTTTTACTGCCCGGATCAGCTCACTGAAATACAGCCATTAAAGAGGACGCTGCCCAGGCAAAACTGCCAGGTTATTCTGTAGTCATTTACAAAGACATGAAGGAGGTGCACCACTCACTGTGAAGTTAATCTGGCAGCCTCCCATGATGTAATCCAGGAAGGAGTAGTCCGTTTCAATCTAAAAGAACAAATACTCAGGGTTGCATCTCCTCTTCTACAGGAAAAGGAAAGTCGGAGGGTCGCTAGACAAGCTTACCTTGCAGGATTTTATCCTAACAATTCCAGAGTTTTTGTAGCTCTTTTTCTTTTGTTTTTTGCCAGGGTGAATGCATTCAAACTCCACCTACAGGATGCAAGGCACAAAGCTCAGATCATTGACACGCTCACCTGAAGAAAGCAGTGGAGGAATTTAAACCGGGGGGGGACTGTGTGTAGAGGTGGCGGGGGGGGGGGGTGTAATTCAACTCAGCCCTCCCCTCCAAAACCTGTGGAATCAGTGGGGTTTTTAAACACCAGCACAGCAAAAAGACGTAGATTTTAACCACTCTGACACGTGCTCTCTTTCAACAACCACATTTTACAAATGGTCAGATTTCCTCAGAAATAGTCTCATGAAGGTAGAGATAAGTCAGCTATGCAGTGAGGACACTTCTGGCCTGTCTCCGGGAGTCTGCTGTGCTGGAGTGAACAAGAGAGGGAAGCTACTAGACTTCAGCCTGAGTCTCCAGAGACGCAGGAAGTGGAGATGATGAACACATTGCATAGGAACTAGACAAAAGAGCAGCAGAATATCTTCTGGAGAGGGAGCTGCAAAGGCACCCGAAGTTACAGGCTGGGGTGCTCTGAGTGCAAAATGTATTTACTTTTCTAGAATGTGTGTTAATGACATTGCAGCACAAATAAAATACGCCACACTAGCACTGCTCAACAGTCTCTCGCAAAACCCTTTGCAGTGAGTTATGGCCACCTCAGCTGAATAAATGGTGAAAAAAGAAATAGCTCACCAGAGAGCTGCCACCTGCTTTCTGCAACTGAGACAGGTTAGTTTCAAAGCTGCCTATCAAGTCATGTGACCCATCACTATCATAATCTGTACAATGTACCTGAAAGGAAAGAAACAGCAGGCAATGGACAAAGGTGCTGTATCAGGGAGAATTACAGCTGCTCACCAAATGATCTCTCGCTTCCAACAGCTTTGCAGTGATGCAAGTAAACTCCCCTATCAAATCAGAACTGGTGCTGTCATCCATATCACTAACTGAAACCTGACAGTGAAAGAGACACTCAAAGTGAATCCTGGTTAGAGATGGAGATATTGCTAACTCACCAGTTTAGCTAATGGGAAATTAAATGCAACTCGCATGCATAGCAGAAGTTTTGCTTCAACTGGCATGTCTACCCAATTAAACAGATCCACTTTGCTAGACTATTGAATATGATTTACTTTTACGTAGGTCCCGAGGTATAAACATGATTTTAGTCTGTAGAAGGTGCTCACTTGGAATATGGGGAAAGCAGCAATAAGAAAGCTGTATCCAACATCTTCCAGTCTTTCATATTTACTTACATAAAAAAAGTCATAGGGATGGCATTGGAGACTGGCAGCTCCACAGAGCAGAACCTCGCCTGCTTTCCTCCATATTTTGCACAGTACCAAGCAGACTATCACATTTAGATCAGCCTGGAGACCTGATTCCCCAGTGATAATGCCAATGTAAGAGACCATGGCATTCAGAACATGCTAAGACCTACATCAGTCATTGCCCCATGTAAGGTTACCCACTAGAAAGCAGTATGTAGGAGGGCTTAATATGCACAAAACACACAAGCCCAGTGAGTGGCACAGACAAATGGAACAGCCAGCCACTTTGAATTGTATGGGGCTGCTCCTTGCCTGAGGGTCCCGACAGGGTGGGTTGCAGGCCAGATCTCAGGTTTACATTGTACCATCACCTTGCTCAGCATCAGCAGTCTGATGCAGCACTCAATAAGCCTCTCAGCTATGTTTCAGATAAGGACGGAAAGCCTGATCATTCAGTCTGTGGATCAGCCATGAGAAAAGAACGTGGGAAATTTCACTTTTGCATTTCTTGACCTACTTTAAATTTGATACATGATATTGCATTAACATAGGCTTGGCATTTAATAAAAATGATCTCATTTGCTAGTGTTTAAATTTTTAAACAACTTTTCTAGATGAGAACAAACTGAACAGCTTAATAATTACGTAATAAATTGATGTCAACCCAGAGGTGGTAACTTTCAATTGCAAAGGAAGAAGATATTGAAAACAATCACTTAAGCATTTCCAGGACCTCACCTTTATTGGTTTATTGAAGTCCCCTCCACAGAAAGTCTGCAAGGGAACACTAAACTTCCTCCAGCATGGATTTAAATTGTTCTTAATCACCTGTAAGGTAACATGCCACATGCAAATCATTATGAACCTTAATGTGGTCAAAAATCAAGAGAGCAGCCCCATGCCCCCAGGGAGCCAGCTGGTGCCCCACACTGCAGGCTCTGCAGTATAAAGCTTTGTACCACAGAGCCTGCTGGCCTCACTCCCGGGGACCCAGCTGCATGGCAGGCTCTGCAGCATAAGCTTTATACTGCACAGCCTGCAGTGCAGGGCAGCAGCTGGCTCCTTGGGAGCCAGTGTGGACCGGAAGACAGCTTTTAAGCTGGCTCTTGCCTGCCATCTTGCTCCCAGGGAGCCAATTGTTGAGCCAGCTCCTGGTGCGTACCAGCTCCCAGCCCCACTCCCAGGGAGCTGGCGGCTGCTTGTGTGGCAGGCTCTAATACAAGCACCTGTGTGTCTAACACACCCTGTGTGTTAACGTTAACCGATAACCCCAGGCTTATCTGTAACTGGTTATACTATTACATCCCTGCTCCCTGAACAACGTTAGTTATGTGGACAGACACACTCTTCTGTCCATATAGCTGCATCTATGCTGGTGCTTTTGCCAGCAGAGCTACGTGGGTCAGAGCTGGGAAGTGGGCTCACACCCCTAACCAACACAGCTATGTTGATAACAATTTTAAATACAGATCACGCCTCAGGCTGTGAACCTCTCAGATTTTGCATGCTGAAGGCAGGTCTATACAACAAGCTCTGCACAGGTGCAGCTACACCACTATGGTGTAGACTAGGAATGTGAAGGCTTAACTGAAGGCTTCCCGGTAAAAGTTAACCAGTGGGGCTGGAGCAGCTCCCTGACCTTTAATCAATTAACCAATATGTTTAACCAGTTAGCCAATTTAATGGGATTTTACATCCCTGGTGCAGACGCTTTCTGCAGAAACAGAAGGGGTTTTTCCATTGCTGCAGTAAATCTACCCTCTCGAGCAGCAGTAGCTGCAGCGGGTGCTAGATCAATGTACCTACATTACAGGGGTCTGAGAATCTCCAGAGCCCCGAGCAATGTAGCTAGGTCAGCCTAAATACATGCAGGGGTGGGCCTGATTAATACCTGAATGAGACACCCTGTAAAACACAGGTACTGCATAAAGCAAGTGCTTACAGCTCAGCAGGTGTACTCTTTCCTCTGAGCTTGAGCCAATACTCCAACCCCAGTAGGGGACACTGCATCTTGCTGCAGATTAAACATTAAAAACCCTACCATATGACCATTAGGGTGCCTCTATTCCTGTTAAAGAGCCATAGATCCTTTGACATTAAACATACAGGTTCGTATTTGTGATGCAAAAGCTTAGTAGATACTAAAATTAGTTGCTGTCAAATCACAGCAATATTCTATCCCCCACAGCACACCATGCTCTCCCTTCTCAGGCAATGGAAGCAGAACCAAATGCCAGAGAAGTTTGCATCAGTGTGCAAACCTTACCTCTGACCTGTAGACAAGCTGCCATTTTCCGCCTTCACTCTGCTTGTACAACTCCAAAAACGGATCCGATTTGCCCAAAAAATCCTGTGTGCATAAAAAATAGAGTAATCAACCCCTCGTGCTTCACGCAAATGATAAAAGTATGAGAAAGCAATTCAGAAGTAACCGTAATGCGACCTGCTCACAGACTATGTGTTTGACATCTGCCCTGTTTACAATTGGAGTCATTCCCTCCTCCTTCCGTTAGCTGTCCGAACAGGAGACTCAGACTGATCGCCTGATTTTCCTCAAAGACTCCCTCTTCCCTCATCACTGACAGAACCATTGTGCTCTCTCCCTGATAGGCTGTCACCTTTGATTCAACTCTTTCTAGACTCAAATATCCAGCCCACTTCTTCCTATGTAAAACAGCAACCTCTGGTCCTTCCAGTACCCACACAGCACAGGTCCTCCTCCAGGCGCCTCTGTGGCCTGGACTTTTGCACCCCTGCTCAAGTCTATTTACAGCACTGCAGCTATTTCCCAACTCAGCATCAGGCTCAAGCACGTAGCTCTCCTCTTCCCAAGTCTTTCCCACAGGCCTTCCCTGTCCATGGAAAAAAGAAGCTTATTGCTTTGAGACAGAAAGCCTGACCCTCTTGGCAGATATTGCACCTGGACACGCTGTGAGCTTCCCCTAAGCAGTAGAGGCAATGCTGGTCGTCACTATTTATTTACCAAGCAGGATCACAGGCAAGAGTCAAAGTCAGAAACCCAACATTCTGAGTAGGGATGTAAGTGGCCAGTCAACTGCCTGATAAGTCTAGGCTTATCGAATAGTCGAGTCATTACGACTAGTCGCTTCCCCTTACTTGCTGCCTCCGAGACAGAAGCAGCATGGTGGAGGAGAGGGGGAGCAGGAGCCAGTGCTGGAGGAAGCCGGCTTAAAAGCTGGTTCCCCCCAGCACCATCTCTGAGGGCGAGCAGAGGAGCCACAGGTGCAGTGGGGGAAAACAGCACTAGCAGGGACTGAAGCAGACAGCTCTTACCACATTTAAAAGGCAAAGGTGCAGTGGGGATAGCGAGTCCCCCCACATTGACTAATCAAGCAGTGATAGGAATTCCATCAACTATCGACTTGCTGATTAAGTGAGATGTAACATCCCTAGTTCTGAGCATAGTTCAGTACCCGTACAAGGAAAGGACAGGAGGGCGATAGAAAAACAAGGCCCAGATCTGAATACTACAAACTATAATAAAACTTTAAAACTATGCACAATGATCTGTTTAAAGAGGTATCAGATGAGGACACAAGTTTCGACTGGGTCCTTACAGCAGTGAGAAGGAACTGGAGGAATGGAGTGTGCCCTGTACTTCGCCTCAGACAGAAGCAGAAAGCAAGCCAAGGCACATTTGTGGACCTACTTAAATTCCCCTACTCTGGGCACATGATGCATGTGATTAGCCCTCAGTGGAACGCAATAGGGACCATCACTCGAAGAAGCAGCTAGACATTATAGCAGATCTACTTGTGATACGCCTGCATACCATGTTTTGAGAGAATATACCATGTTTTAAAAAGATATTGTTCCATAATTAAAGGTTGCCCTGTCAAAGAAAATTTCAGCCATAGCCAATTTGAAGAGATTTCCTTACACACATGACAGTGACACAGAAAATTTTAAGGAAATAAAAATTAACATAGTACAGTTCACACCAATAGCCCAACACTTTTGGACAAAAACAAAAAATGTTCATCCATTTTCAACTATTCATATTTAGTGTTGCATTCTAATGTTGTAATCAGATAGTTCCACAATAATAATCTTGTAAAGTACATGTATTTTATCGTATTTATTCCATCTTTCCATATCTTGCATGGTCTTATACAGTGTTTCTTAAACTGTGTTATGAGGCAGTTGGAGGTGTGCTGCGGAGAACAGAGCTCAAAATGGCCACCCTTAAAGGGGTAGGTGACTTTTTTTGGCTTAACTCCCCCCCCCCTTTTTTTTTTTTGGCTTAACTCCCCCACCCCTTTTTTTTTGCTCAACAAAAAATCCTTTGTGTTCCTAATAAAAAAAATTATTGTTTGGTGTTTCTCGGTCTTAAAAAGTTTAAGAAACACTGGTCTTATATGTCTTTGTTAACACTGATAGGAACCCAACACAGGATGAAAGGAGCAGTCTGGAAACATGAGACGGAAGGTGGATTAGTTTTTTTGTAGGGTAGGCAAGGGTGGACTCCAAAGTCTGGATAACTAGGAGAGACTGCAGATAAGGATTCAAAACTCAACTCTGAACCTTTGAACAAAGGGTAGGAATGGTAAATTTTCAGAATGGAGAGGGGTAACTAGTGGTGTCCCCCCAAGGGTCAGTCCTGGGACCAATCTTGTTCAACTTATTCATAAATGATCTGGAGAAAGGGGTAAGCAGAGAGGTGGTAAAGTTTGCAGATGATATTAAACTGTTTAAGATAGTCAAGACAGAAACAGACTGTGAAGAACTTCAAAAAGATCTCACCAAACTGAGTGATTGGGCAACAAAATGGCAAATTAAATTTAATGTGGATAAGTATAAAGTAATGCACACTGGAAAAAATAACCTCAACTATACGTACAGTAAGATCGAGCCTAATTTGGGTATGACAAATCAGGAAAGAGATCTTGGAGTTATCGAGGATAGTTCTCTGAAAACTTCCACACAGTGTGCAGCAGCGGTCAAAAAGGCAAATAGCATGTTAGGAATTATTAAGAGAGAGAGATAGAAAATAAGACACAGAATATCTTACTGCCCCTGTATAAAACTATGGTACGCCCACATCTTGAATACTGTGTACAGATGTGGTCTCCTCACCTCAAAAAAGATATTTTGGCCTTGGAAAGGGTTCAGAAAAGGGCAACTAAAATTATTAGGGGTTTGGAATGGGTCCCATATGAAGAGAGGCTAAAGTGATCGGGACTTTTCAGTTTAGAAAAGAAGAGACTAAGGGGGGAAAAGATAGAGGTATATAAAATCATGAGTGGTGTGGAGAGGATGAATAAAGAAAAGTTATGTATTAGTTATTATTTAAAAGGTATTTATTATAAATGTATTATTTATTAGAAGAACTAGAGGACACCAAATGAAATTAATGGGTAGCAGGTTTAAAACTAATAAAAGAAAGTTCTTCTTCACACAGCATGTAGTCAACCTGTGGAACTCCTTGCCAGAGGAGGCTGTGAAGGCTAGGACTATAACAGAGTTTAAAGAGAAGCTAGATCATTTCATGGAGGTTAGGTCCATAAAAGGCTATTAGCCAGGGGATAGAAATGGTGTCCCTGGCCTCTGTTTGTCAGAGGCTAGAGATGGATGGCAGGAGACAAATCGCTTGATCATTGTCTTCAGTCCACCCCCTCTGGGGCACCTGGCGCTGGCCACTGTTGGCAGATAGACTACTGGGCTAGATGGACCTTTGGTTTGACCCAGTACGGCCGTTCTTATGTTGAAGTCCTCCAGTTGTTGCTTAATACATTTAATATATTTACCGTACATCAACTTTCAATTCTCCCTCAAGGATGTTTGTTCAGGTAAACTGCCCATTATCAAGGTTGCATCTCAATGAAATCAACCTGAATTAAAGGCAAGGTCAGACTCAAAAGCGTAGGTTGACAACTTTCTATGTGACATCACATTCAGACTGTAAATAGCATGTTTCCTGTTCAAGCAATTTCTACATATAAGTAATTCCTCTTCTGCACTGTTCTCCTGATTTGAGGAAAAATCAGGACATACACATAGCAAGTAGAACTGAATTCCTTCTTAGTGCAAGTTCTGGGGAGAGCTACACAAAGATGTGTAACTGTGTAAGAGTCAATTACCTTTTTGTCCAAGTTCTGTGCTTCAATATCTAGACTGACAACTCTTGTGTCTTTAATCTCTTCTGCTGAGATCTGTATTACGAGACCGTAAAGACAAATTAATCTCCAATGGAGTTTAGCAGACACTTAGGCACAATGAAAGGATCATAGAACACTAGGACTGGAAGGGACCTCGAGAGGTCATCGAGTCCAGTCCCCTGCCCTCATGGCAGGACCCAGTACTGCATAGACCATCCCTGATAGACATTTATCTAACCTGCTCTTAAATATCTCCAGAGATGGAGATTCCACAACCTCCCTAGGCAACTTAGGACATTGCTTCTGGTTGTAAATTTTGTTTTTTGCACACACATAAGTCAAGTAACATAATTTAACACTGCCGAAAAGCAAACTTTAAAATTAATTTACCCAAAATTAATTTATTTAACCAATGAAATGTAATTCTATATAAAACAAAGGTGAAAGTAAGTTGGTGCACCCCAGCAAGGAAGTGGCTGGCTTGGGGTGAGGTTCTGATCCAGCCCATCCCTGTCCTCCTCCCCCACCTAGAGCTGACGCTGGCAACTGGGGCCAACGGTGCGCTGGGCTGGCAGCTGGGAACTCAGGGGCACTGCAGGAGCCCTCACCTCCCTAACTCCTTTTCTGTGCCTATGGATGCTACCCTCATTGTTCCCATTTGATCAGGAGCAGCATGGTTAAGGGTCACCAATCGGGGCTGCCCCAGCCCCCCACCCACATTTCACCCTAAACATACCCACCAAAATACCTGCCCTAACTCCTATATCCCAGCTTTTGCCCTGCGCACCCCACCCTCAGCTCCCTGCCCTAAACTCCCTTGTAAAATTTAAGTGTGGGTTACAGTGCAAGTACTGTTGTATGGCACACACATGCCCCGAGTGGGGATGTGATACAACTGTATCTGTAACAAATTTAACCTACTTTCACCCGATATAAAGCAACAAGGTCTTTCATTCTTTTAGGGACATATACAAAGCACACTTACCGTAATGTTGCCTTTCCCTGCTGGCTTTCCTTTCTTCAACTCCAAAGGCCGAGTAAGTGTTTTACTGGACACAATCTACAGCCAAATGAAGGCATACAGAATGATGCAGTTAGACACAGAAAACAAGGAGTCCTGTGGCACCTTAAAGATTAAACAGACTTATCTGGGCATAGGCTTTCATGGGCAAAAACCCACTTCATCATACATATGATGAAATGGGATTGTGCCCACAAAAACTTATGTCCTAATAAATGTGTTCATCTTTAAGGTGCTGTAGGACTCCTTGGTGTATCTTCAGATAGAGACTAACACGGCAATCCCTCCGATACAGAAAACACAGTAATGCTTCAAGAGTAAAATTCCCCAAATCACCTAAGTGACGAAGTCCCTAAATTCCATTTTCAAAAGTAACCTATTCCTCTTAGGCACTTCAGCATCACTACAAGTCAATGGGACTTATGCTTTTAAATCACTAAGGCCCTTTTGCAAATTTTACGTCTCCTAAAACTATAATTTCTGGGGCTACAGTATTCCAGTTCTGACTTCCAGTGACATCCCTTGAAATCTAACCCTTACATTCCTTTTAGCTCTAATTTTTGCCTCACCAAAACACTTTGAGACACTGATATTTTACTTTAAGGATCCAAGAAATCCCAGGAATAGAAAAAGGCCATTCAGCATGCAGGGTCGGTTTTAATATATCTAACCCTCTCCTTCCTACTTGTAGGCTGAACAGCCAACCCTCTTCTCCAGACATGGAAGAGTAGATGGGGCTCCAATACTCATTCCTTCTCTGCTGCAATCACCTTCCCTTTTCACACAAAGGCAACTAAACATCCAAGTCATGTTGTTGGGGTTCCCAATTACCTCAGGCTCCTCACCTGTTCAATTATATTCCAGGATATTTGATGGTCTCCCCATTTTGAGCACTTTATAACAAGCCATCTATATTTTCTGAACTTAGAACTTTTAAACATTTTTGTTCCAGGTATGTGTTTTCCAGGACACATTTGTGTGCTATCAAACGTGATTAATCAGGATAGAAAACATTGTTTCTCCCTTTGATTTAAAAGAGGGCATGCAAAGCATACCTTAAATATAGGCTTGTGACTTTTTAGGTGAGGGAGCTTTATTATAACACATACAGAAAGCCCGAACCAAGTTGTCTGTCTGAAGTTCCCAGGTACAAGACAAGCAAGAAAAATAATCTAAGAAAAAATGAGATGTCTTGTCCCCTGGTTTTGCTAGTGACTGCTGGGGGAGAGAAGGGGTGTAACAACACATATACACACTCAGCTATCATACCCTTCTCTTCAAAGTGATAATCAGTCAAGCTAAACAGATGTTAAAAAATTACTCTACATTTTATAATTATCCGTGCACCCATGAGTCTGTTCAAGAACTGCTCCTAAACAGTAAGAGCTAGGACCACTACATTTGGTATACAGCTTCCTCTTATCATAACTTAAATCAAGGTAAGGATCTGGTTGCACCAGGACAACGGGATGAGCCTGGTATTTGATTGCTTCTCATAAAATGAAAAGGGAGGGGTCTGGTAAAAGGGACAGTTATACTGTGAAATGACCACAAGCGCAGCAAGGGGTCAGAGATAGGGACCAAGACAGCTATAACCCCATTGGGCCAGCAGGGGGAAGAGGTGGAAAAAAAAGGACAGTTATCTACTATAAATTTCAGAGAGTTTGTCTGTGTGACTAGGTCTAGACTACGGGGCTTTATCAGAAAAATCTACGCAAATTGCGCTCTGCAATTTGTGTAGCTTTTTCCAATCACTTTTGCAGAAGCTTTTCTGCCATTTGGCCCAGTCTAGACGGGGCCAAATGGTGGAAAAGCCTCCTCTTTCGGCGGAGCCCTTATGGCTTGTCAAACAAGGTATACAGGGCTCCCCGAAAGAGCATGTTTGCTCTTCCGCAAAAAAACCCAAAAAACAGAAGAGCAAACGTTTTCCTTGGACGCGGTGGGGTTTTTGAGGAAGCGAGGGCATGTGCCTAACAGACACCGACAGCACAAGGAGCCACTGTGGTGCATGTGTGGCACAACAGGGCACTGCTAGAAAAATCTCCGGTCACCAGCACTAGCTCCCCAGAGTGGAGCACCCACAGGAACTTCACTCGAAGAAGAACCCTGTCTTCAAAAGCACTTGCAACCACTTGCAGCTTGGTATCATCTGCAAACTTAATAACTGAGCTCTCTATGCCAATATCTAAATTGTTGATGAAAGCATTGGACAGAACCAGTCCCAAAACTGACCGCTGTGGTACCCTACTTGATATGCCCTTCCAGCATGACTCTGAACCATTAAATAACTACTTGCTGAGAACAATTATCCAGCCAGTTACACACCCACCTTACAGTAGCCCCATCTAGGTTTTATTTTCCTGGTTTATTGATAAGAAGATCATGCGAGACCATATCAAATGCCTTACTGAAGTCTAGGTATACCACATCCACTGCTTCTCCCTTATCCACAAGACTTGTTTTCCTATCAAAGAAAGCTATCAGATTGGTTTGACATGATTTGTTCTTTACAAATCCATGCTGGCTGTAACCTATCACCTTATTATCTTCCAGATGTTTGCAGATGAATTCCTTAATTACTTGCTCTGGTATCTTCCCTAGCAAAGAAGTTAAACTGACTGGTCTGTATTTTCCTGGGTTGTTCTTATTTCCTTTTTTATATAAGGACACTATATTTGCCCTTTTCCAGTTTTCTGGAATCTCTCCTGACTTCCATGATTTTTCAAAGATGATAGCTAAAGGCTCAGATACCTCCTCTGTCAGCTCCTTGAGTATTCTAGGATGCATTCCATCAGGCCCTGGTGACTTGCAGACTTCTAACTAAGTTGGAACTGGACTTTTAATATTCCATTCATCTGAAGATAGGGAAGCTTGCTTTTATTTACAAGTTTGGGAGCCATCACAAAGGTAGGAATAAAGACATTACCTGGTTAGCACACTACCTTCCACATCCTAATGACTTAACCAACCAAACAATAGACAATTTGCACCTTCTCGATCAGCTTCTTGTAACATGAACACTCTAATGCACTATTTTTTCCCTTCCTTCCCCCCCCCCCATCCCCTATTTATTTTAGAACTGGACTTTTAATACTCCGTTCATCTGAAGAAGTGTGTTGTATCCACGAAAGCCCATGATACCATCTACATGTTTTGTTAGTCTTTAAGGTGCTGCTAGACTATTCACTGTTTTTTAAAGTTTTTCCAGTTACAGACCAACTCAACTACCCCTCTGTAACTTTTCTAATTTTTAATTTGTTTTTTTTTATTTTAACTTGTAAACTAACCTATTTCCGCGATCACTCAGTATGTTAGGCATCCTGTCACATCAATCTGCTTGACAAAAACTACGATGCCTAAAAGTATAGATCTGCTAAACAGGTGTCAGGAGGTTCCATGTGCTTCCCATTTTTCTCCTATTTTTTCCCTTCTTCCCCAAAAGTCAATCAGATTCTCTCCATTGAAACCTAGAATGTTTCCTGATATTTTGAACAGAACACACAGTTCAAAAGTTGTTTCAAAACCAGACAGATGCTATCACAAATCCTGCAACAAATATATATTTCTTGTCTGTGCCCTATCTCCCCAGAGCAGAGAGGGGGCACAGCAGGACTTGCGATAGAGGGAGCTGCCTGCTTTTAGGAGTGGTGCAAGGCCAGGGCAGGGGTGAGCCTGCTTTAGCCCCACTGCACCACCACCCAGAGCCACCTGAGGTCAGCAGGGCCCAGCTTGGAGCCCACATCCCAAAACCCTAACCCAGTCATGAAGCCCCTCCTGCACCCCTAGCATCCCTGCATCCAAATGCCCTCCTAGAGCCTGCACCTAGAACCCCCTCCAACACCCTAACCGCCTGCAGCTCAGAGCCCCTCTCACACTCCAAATCCCTTAATGCAAGGTCGGAGCCTACACCCCAAGCCTCTGCCCCAGCCTAGTGAGAGGGAGGAAGGGAGGATAGAGTGAACAGGGGCAGAGAAGGAGGAGAAAGGAGGTGGGGCAAGGGAATTTGGGTTGCAGGTAGATCTTCGATTGCACTTAAATTCAGAAAGTGATCTCAAGCATAAAAAGGTTGGAGACCGCTGTTCTAAGACCTGCCTCACTGTTAATTAAGGAGATATAGCTATGGCTAAAAAATGCACTCCCGGGGGTATGTCTACACTACCCCCCTAGTTCGAACTAGGGTGGTTAATGTAGGCAGCCGGAGTTGCAAATGAAGCCTGGGATTTGAATTTCCCGGGCTTCATTTGCATGTTGCCGGGCGCCGCCATTTTTAAATGTCCGCTAGTTCGGACTCCGTGCCTGCGGCTACACGCGGCACGAACTAGGTAGTTCGGATTAGGCTTCCTATTCCGAACTACTGGTACACCTCGTTCCAGCGGCAGCTGGTGGTCCCCCAAAGGTATCGCCGCAAGCTGCTACACCTGGCCCATGACATCCCGTTCTCGGGACACCAGGGGATCCAGCACACGCGGCTGAGGCTGCTCCAAAACTTCTACTGGCCGGGGATGTTTGCAGCTGTACAGCAGTACTGCTGGTCCTGTGACTCCTGCCAGCGAGTGGGGAAGGCCCAAGACAGGAGGAAAGCTGCGTTGAGACCCCTGCCCATCATAGAGGAGCCTTTCCAGAAGGTGGCGGTGGATATTGTGGGGAAGAAATACATCCTGGTGGTGGTGCTATATCCTGGAGAAGCAATAAACTACCTCCATTCTATTGGCTGGGGGAGTCTGTTCGTGCCATTTGGGGGTGCAGGAGATGGTGGACCCCAACGCGCCGTCACGGGGTGTTTGGGTGGAGTAGGGGATTTTGACCTGTGTCAGGGGATTGGGGTATAGGGTGAGGGAGGGAGTGTGGGTGCAGGAGAGGGATGTAGGAGAGGGGACCAGTCTGGGAGGAGTTGTCACCTGAGGCAGAGGGTACAGAGTTTCGATGGTGATCTGGGGGAGGGAGTTGGGATGCAGGAGGGGTTGGGGTGCCAGCGGCAGACGCTGGCTGGGAGGAGTTTACCTAAGAGTCTCCTGGCCAGCAGGCTGCAGCACCCCACAAGGCAGGCTGGGCTCCCTGCCTGCTGCAGCCCCAGCCTGCTTGACAATACAGGCTGGGCGCCCCCCCCGGGCCCCCAACCAGGGGGGAGGGAGAGGGCTCCCAAGACTCTCAGCCCAATCTCTCAGCTCTGATTGTCGGTGTTTCCCCAGCCAATAGGAGCTGAGAGATTGGCTGAGGTCAGTTCTTATTGATCAGTTGTTTCTGGCCAATAGGAGCTAAGGATTGGGCCGGAGGCGGGGAGATAGCATGAAGCCTCCCGCTCCCTGCAGAGCAGAGAGGTGCAGGGACTGGGTTTTAAACCACAGCAGCTGCGTGTGCCTGAGGGTGCCAGCAGGGTGGTCTGTGGGCCAGATCCGGCCCCCAGGCTGTATTCTGCCCAGCCCTGGGCTAGGTGGATATAAAGTAGTCACCTAGCTACTGCTGCTTGGGAAGGTGGATTACTTACGACAAAAAAATCCCTTTTGTCACAGTTGGAAGTGTCTACCCTACTGTTCTACGCAGCATAACTACAGTGGTGGGGCTGTAACATCGTAGCACCCACAAAGTACCACATAGACTAAGTGAAATCAGTTCAACGGACAAAATGCTTTTACCCAGCGTATGTCAAAACTTCTGACACCCAAGATTCTCCCTTTTCTGATTTAAACCTACATTTATCACTGCTTTCCAGACCCCGGAGATACATTTTCTGCAAGTACCTGTCCCAATGTACACTCCACCCCTCCAAGGTAATCATCATCATTTAAATCATACGACTTGTTATCGATATCATAGACACCAAACTTCAGCTTCTGCACTTTCTCAAAGTAGTAATCAATGAGTAGTTTCTTGGAGAATTCAGGCTTCTGGCAGTTCTTTATCTTTTCAGTTCGATCCAACTATGCAAAAAAAAAAAAAAAGAGATGGAAATTATCTCTCTATATAAACATACTGACCATACAATACTTGTTATACCCTTCACCCCCAAACACTTGTTTATTGGCCTTTATATGTCTCTGAGGTATGCAAGTGCCAGGCTGCTAAATCTAGCCTCTGCAAAATGACTACTCTGCAACTCTGTGCTCCCCGCATGTTAATAAAGACATTTTATAATCAACTGCCCCTTAATTTGGCTTAGAGATCATCTGAAATTTGAGGAAAAAAGCCAAAGACATACTATGTGCTGATCATAGAATCATAGAATAATAGGACTGGAAGGGACCTCGAGAGGTCATCGAGTCCAGCCCCCCGCCCTCAAGGCAGGATCAAGCTCCGTCTACACCATCCCTGACAGATGTCTATCTAACCTGTTCTTAAATATCTCCAGAGAGGGAGATTCCACCACCTCTCTTGGCAATTTATTCCAATATTTGACCACCCTGACAGTTAGGAATTTTTTCCTAATGTCCAATCTAAACCTCCCCTGCTGCACTTTAAGCCCATTACTCCTTGTCCTGTCCTCAGAAACCAAGAGGAACAAATTTTCGCCTTCCTCCTTGTGACACCCTTTTAGATATTTGAAAACCGCTATCATGTCCCACCTCACAGGGGAAAAGCAGCAGCACAACTTAACAGAAAAATAAAATCCCTGTTGTGTCTTCAAATTATCAACCTTATGATTATTACTCCATCAAATTAGAGACAGGGGGCTTTGAAAGTCACAATTTTGACCAAGCAGGATTTAATTAAGCAAATTACACTACTGTAACTGGCAATCTTTACAGATTGGTCATGCTCTGAAAATACGCATTTCTGTAATATAATGCAAGATTAGAGATTATAGGCTACTTTTTACCTCTGCCCATTGATCACCTCCCACATTTTGGAGTAAGACACAAAGAGGGTCAGATTTTGAACCAACATCTTTGTCAATGAGATTCTCACAGGATATGGACAATTCCACCTTAGTCACACACTGAGCCATCTGCAAAAAAATTCAGAGAAGAAATAAATGCAAATGTTGATAAAGCATTTATCAATAAAACCACATCCCTTGCATTCATAACAGTAACGCACAGCAAGCCAGACAATACAGCAAACAAAACCTGAGCAGGATAAACAAGGAGGAGTCCCATGGTACCTTAAAGACTGACAGATTTATTTGGGCATAAGCTTTCATGGGTAAAAAAAAAACAAAAAACAATCAGTCAGATGCATGACTGGATATCACAAAGTAGGGATATATATTTCACACACACACAAAAGCAGGCAATTACTTATCAAGTGTAGAACTAGGGTTAACGAGGCCAATTCAGTCAGACTGGAGTGGCTCACTCCCAGCAGTTGATAGGGAGTGCAATTTGCAAATGAGTTGCAGCTCTGCTTTTCTCTTTGTAGTCTGGATTTGAAGTTATTCTGTAAAATAATGGCTACTTTTAAATCTGTTATTGAGAGTCCAGGTAGGTTAAAGTGTTCAAGGAGGCAGGCCATTTCTCTCCTACAGACAGCCCCCCCAGTGTGAAGCAAATATCAGCAGCCACACTCCAGAGAAACACTTACCAAGGAACGTATCCCTGCAAAAAGATCCTGTTGCCTACTCTGTCCCCATATTTATACAAACACCATCAGTCACATCTTCAGGAACTCATTCACCTACAATTCATAACGTGATCTATGCCACCATGTGCTAGCAACATCCCACTCCCATGTATATTGGCCAAACCAGTCTCTGTCCCAAAGAATAAACACAAATCAGACATCAAGAAAGGTTACATGCAAAAACCAGCAGGAGAGCAATTCAACCTCTGTGGACACTCAGTAACAGATTTAAAAGTAGCTTGAAGGAGGATTTAGAATGGTTGTCTCACTACAAAGACAATTTTCCCTCTCTTGGTATTCACACCTCCCCATCAACTGCTAGGAGCGAGCTACATCCCCTCTGAATTGGCCTCGCTAACGCCGATCCTACCACTGATAAATAACTGCCTTCTTTGGGAGGGAGAATGTGGGTCTACCTCTGATATCCAATTCATATAGCTAACAAAAGGTTTTATCCACAACATAGTCTGTTAGTCTCCAAGGTACATTGACACAGCAACATTATTTCAAAATAATAGTCCGCCTCTACACAGCAAGGAGATATTTCGAAATAATGTCAAAATATTGTCAAGCTGGAGGGCTTCTTACTCCAACTCCTGTAACTCGCATTGTACGAGGAGTAAGGGAAGTTGGAGAAGGAATGCTCTATTTCAAAATAAGTGCTGTGTAGACGCTCCCAATTTCGAAATAAGCTACGTAATTGACAGAACTCAATTTGCATAGCTTATTTCAAGGTAAGCTTTTCTATACAGACACACCCTAAGGTGCCACAGGTCTCCTCGTCGTTTGTGCAGATAAAGACCAACCCAGCGACCACTCTGAAATTAAGTGAAATAAAAACACTTCCCTACAGGATGCTAGAAGCCTCTGCCAGGATTTTCTCTTATGATTTTAGGAGGAGACAAAGCTCACCAGGAGATTCTCAAGGATTCCAATGAGCTCTTGACAATTGCCCACAAGCCTTGGGACACACACAGCCCGTTAGAAACCCCTCCCGGCGACCCTCCAAGGCTGCGTCCGGCCCCAGCAACTTCTGCATGGCACGGGGCTGGGCTGGCTCTCTGTCCCTGAGCAGCCAGCCCAAGGCGAAGGGCCTGGGCCCTGCATCTGAGAGCTGGGCCCGTGCCTCGCTGACCGCTGGCCTGGTCCATCTGTGTTCTCTCTGCCCGTCCGCAGCCAGCACCAGGCCGGGCCAACTCTGGCACCCCCTGGCTCCTCCCCGCCTATGCCACTAGGAGGAGCGCGTGGCCAGCCGGGTCCTGCAGCCCCAGTGCGCACCTGCCCAGGGCCAGCACAGAGGAGCGGTGGCCACGGAAAACACGGATGTTGCAGCCTCCCTGGAGATGCTCCTGTTTACAGGCTCCATGCCCAGAGCCAGAGTTACTAGCTGAGCAGCTCCAGGCAGCATCTGTGTCTTCCTGACAGTCCATAACGAAAAGGCTGGCCACACTCGCCCAGCGGCTGGAGTCAAGGTAATGGGGGCTCTGGGAACCCAGCTATTTAGAAGGGTTGAAAGTCAGTGTCAGAGTGATTGTGAGGCCACTCAGTCCCCAGTACAAATACAGTTCTGACTGAACAAAGCGTTCGCTAGTGCTCCAAGTGCTTGCAATGTCAACTACTGCAGAACCATCTCGTTGAGAGGAATGAGGAATTTCACCTGTTCCTTTAAATCAGGTTTTCTTTATAGTGCTAGTGTTTGGAGAGACACATTTTCTCTACTCCTTTCTTCAGCCCTCAAGCACAGATAAGAAAATTGGCTCAGACTAGCAGGAGTTGGCTCCAAGGGAACAAAAATCCCTCCTCTGAATCCAACTAATATTGAAGACTGTGCCTAAAAACTAAACACACATGCTCTGAAACTGCTTGGCCATACAGGGTTCTCTACAGCATTTAATACTAGAGTTGACCTCTGAAATACTAATCACTGAAATACTAATCACAACAAATATTTCATGGTACTCTAATTATAGTAAGCCATTTTTCCCCTTTCTTGGCAGTCTTTCAATTTGAAGAATTTAATTAAAATGTTAATCCAGTGTAGAGGGTCAGATTGCTGGGTATGAAATATACAAGAAAGCAAATGGTCAGGTAAGCAAGAAGTATTCCATACTAAAGCCCAGTCACATCCAACAACATTTATGAAGGGCTGTGAAATAAGCAGCCAATAGAGAGAGGATAACTACATACTACAAAGAGCCACAAGGATGCTGAATATGGCCAGATTTTGAGAAATCACCGAGGTAATGGCACACTCCTTGCAAATACCACTAGTGCTACCTGGACACAGCTACATTGTTATATCATAGGAAGAATTAGAGCTTATGCCAGTGAAGCAACTATTCCTCACACAGATTAGCCAGCAAACCCTTAGCAAAATTAGAACTTCAGCATGCTCCAGTAAGCTTGCTTCTCCTTCTTTGTTGGGTGACAGACAGGTCTGTAATAGTATTTGATTGCTTGAGTCAACCAGATCCTGTGGTACTTTTCTGAATATCCAAGGTGTGCCATTCCTGTGGTATTTCTATTTAAATTTATTTAGTCTTAGCTTCTTCTGTGGTGTTCATTACTGCATTATCTGACATGGGAAAATACATGAGACCAACATTCCTGTGAGATATCATCACTTTCCACAGATGAGGAACTGAAGTAGAAAAAGTGTTGACATGCCCAAGTTCACACAGGCAGTCTGTGGCGGAATCAGGAATCTTATTTGGATCTACTGCTTCCATTTTCAGCCCTTTAATCTGCAGGCCATCCTTCTCGTGGAACTTTTAAGTAGACAGAGAGAAATTAAGTCTATGCTAGCACTCGAGCAGTTGTCCTTACTGCTTCAGAGAGAAACATTGCTAAAAAGTGTCAGCAATGATTGAGTTTCTCACTGTAGACAAAGCTTAAATATTTTAATATTTAACGGCTCACGCAAGTGCTCCTTTTGAACGGTCCTTAGACCCAGTTGTGCAAAGTATTTTTTCCCCTCTTCTAAATTATTCCACTTGCTTCTGCAATAGAAATCTCTGTGCTGGTATCAAGGAGGCTTGGTCTAGAAATCTAGCATATTACAAAAAGATTTTAAGTCCCATCTATAAGAAATGGAGGATAGAAAAGATTTCTTGTGTTTCACAAATATTTTAGGGAATCCACTAGACAAAATAGTTGTCAGGTAGTTTGTCTTCAAAGTCCTTTGATGCTATTTGGGCCATATATATGTCTCCAGTGCAGGAGACATATGGGAAAATTACCAAATTTTAAATCTATAATTATAATTCTTCTGGGAACAGAACAGCAAAGAGATAGATGTCAATAACCCAACTGAGCACTGTCTCATTAAGAAAAAAGCAAAACAAAACAACAGATTGCAAAAAGTTGTTGCAGACTTTAGCAACCAAAGGTACAATATTGTAAGTGAGGTTACTACAATGAGTGCTATAACAATGTTATTTATTTGCAAGGGATAATCTCTCTGTGTGTGAGAGAGTGTGTATTTATCATTCATTATCAGAACTGGGGAGGGTCTATAATCTTTCAGAGAGACTGAGTACTCAAAGCCACAGGTATTAGATCATTAATCATCTTGTTCAACTTCTTTAATGAAAAATGAATTTTCAATTTAAGCGTAATACATTTGGCCAATCACACGAGATTGAACGTGATTTAACCCATATAACGGATGTTAGTCATGTTGCTTAATACACTACTGCACACCATTCAGATTCTACAGTGCTGAGAAAATGTAAAAAACTGATGTAGGGTAGAATTTAGAGAAGCATTAGGAAAAGTGAACAAAACACTTTAATTCCATTCGTATATGTGAGTAAGCTATTATCCCATTTTGCTACTATTGATCTTACGTGTCACACTCTTTGATAGCATTCAACCACAAATGGGCTGTGCACACAGCCTCAAAGGTCCACCATTACCTCTGACAACCAATTTTTCTCAAATCAGGCTGACTGCAGAACTCAAGGTCCTTTTTTCAGATGCACCTATATTTTGCCCTCCCAGCCGTGCATAGAACAAATTTAATCTCAAGTCTATGTAGTTTGCAACCCTAATATATTTGTGCAATTCTACAGGGCAGACACTTCAGTACAACTTTATACAGTGTCCATTGTTAGGAAAAAAAGGGTAAAAAAAAAAGTCAGTTAGTCCTAGCTTCTTAGTCATGATTCTTAAACTTTACATGCTGCAGCAATAAAAATTCCATGTAAAAAAGGAAATATTGAAAAGAGTACTTTCCACTTCAATACTCATTAGTTCACCCACAGATACAGGACAAAGTAGAGCCAAATGAAGTAGAAGGAAGGGTTGCTCAACAAACAGAACCAGTTCTGTTTAGGCTTCAGTATCTACAGGTAACAGACATGCTTTGCAGGAAGGCAACCATTA